CTCCATGAATTCCAGTCCGTTTCTGTGCTGAGTTATTTTGGTGCTCAAATGGTCCCAGATTTGATAAATGGAAGTCTTTCAAGCTAGCTCTGGTATTCTTTGTGCATGTTTGGCACACAATTTGATAACTTTTGACGTATCACAACAAATACTGAATTAGTCAGCTCCAGTTGTTTCCCTGTCCCTATCCCTAAGCAATCACAGATTTTTGTTTTGATTAGATTGCATATTTTAAGAATTTAATATAAATGGAACCATACAACATGTACTATTTTTGAGGGGGGGTTGTCTTTTAATCTGCATTAATTACTTTGAGTTCCATCCTTGTGTTTGTATTGTTAGTTCCTTTTAATCATTGTTACTCCTCTGTTTATTACATGCACATCTTAATGGACAGGTCTTGTCAATTACAAATAAATATGCTGTAAACATTCATGCACAAGTCTTTGGAGGCACATACGTTTTAATTTCTCTTGAGTAACTAGGAGTGGAAAGGGTGAAATGTGTGGGAGTGCATTTATTTGACTGTTTAAGAACATGCTGAGAGCTATTTTCCAAACTAGTTATGCTATTTTATGCTCCCATTAGCAATGCATGAGAGTTTCAGTTGCTGTACATTGGCAAGATTGTTTAGTAGGTCACTTTAATTTTAGCCTTGCTAGCAGCCAGCAATATCTGTGATTTTAAATGCTACATAGTTTTCTTAACAATTACCAATACCCTCTGTAGAAGTTGTATTCCCATAAACAGGGTATGAGAGTTTATTCTCAACTTATCAAGGAAGTACTCATTCATCAAATTTTCTCCAAAGTTTTTATAGGAAATAGGTGTTGAATTTTTGATAGGTTTTGTTTTCAGCCTCTGTGGAGATAATCATATGATTTTTGTTTTCTCCTTAGACCTCTTGGGATTGTATACTATCATGAAAGCCTCCCTAAAAGAATCCTAACAACTTCTTGCACTCTTGGTATAAATACCAAGCATGATATATTAACGTGGCTTGGAGGCTACTTCTAATTCTGCATTTAGAAATTCTGCATTATCATCATAAAAGATATTGCTCTGCAGTTTTCTGTGCTATCATTATAGGGATTAGATTCTAATGTTATATTTACACCATTAAAATAATTTGGAAAAATTCATATTTTGCTGTATTCTGAAACAATTTAAAAGTACTGGAGCTACTCGGTTTCCAAAAGGTTAGTTCAATTCTCCTGTATAAGCACCTGGGACTGGTGCCTCTTTGTGCTGTTAGGTGATTTCTTGACCACATTCTCTATTTCTTTCATGAAAAATTGTCGGTTTAGCTTTCTGGTTTATTGACATCAATTTTGGTAAACTGTGTTTCCTAATATATTATTCATTTTATCTGCAGGTAGAGAAATAAAGCTAACATCAGCAAAACAAAAATATATTAGCTTGTATGAACTTCTTCATAATTCATTGCCTAATAATGGCTTCGAAGTCAACAGAGCATCTAAAAATGGATGCCAAAGTTCTTAGAAAGAGAAGAAAATACAGTGTTTCAATCGGTAATTCCAGCCCAGATTTACCTCCCACTATTTGTTCAAAACTGTCACAGTTCTACCCTAGAGTGGAAGTCCATGCAAAGAAACACAAAAGCCCCAAGACATTTTTACACATCTATTTTAATAGAGGGTCTCTCTTTCCCTTCCATTCAAGAGTGGAAACATATCTACTATTACTGCTAATATTAGTAATATTGCTATATTACTAGAAATTCACATAAATGTTCTGCTGTAATTTGGATCCAGAATGTCCCCCCAAAGAATGTTGCCTCTTGGATAAAACTGTACCGAGACTTAATTTTAATTCTACATATGAACCTGGAATATGCTCTAGCAGACTTAATTTTAAAATTTCAAAATTGAAGTTAAATTTAAAATCTTTGTAACATACATATATCCTCTTCTAAAAGAACAACTAAGTGGACACATGTGAACAGCACATCTTTCATATTTTCTTTACAAATTGGTATGTGATAAAGTTATATTGAGGTAAATGTGTGAAGAATTGGTACAGGTAAGATGGCAATAAAAATTAAGATGCATTTGATTAAAGGATAAAAAGCCAGAAATATCTCTTATATTGCTCAAAATAAATAAAGACAAATCCGAAAGAAAAAAAAAAACCAATACATTTTAAAAGATCCCTGTAAGAAACTGATGGGTGGGGCAGACAAATAATATTTTAAAAGATGTAAGCAACCAAATGAAAAGCCCAGACCCGATAATTAGGAATACTTTAAAAAGACATGTTTAAAGCATAAAATCAACATTTGTAAAAACAAATAAGCTCCACATATTTTTAAAGAAGTGTATAGAAACTATACATTTTTTTTCAAAATCATACTGAACATAACGATTCACAACAGTTCTAAACTTTTATCACACAGATAACATTCTCTTAACAATGCAATCAAATTAGAAATCAACAATAAAAATAAATGGAAATAAAGCTAACATCAGCAAAACAAAAATATATTAGCTTGTATGAAAAAGCAAACACAGTCCCAAATAATCCACAGGTTAAATAAATCCTTCAAATGAAATGGTTATCAAGAATATTTACATAACAAGGTGTTTAACAATCAGCCTAAATGGCACCTAGGAATAAGTTTAGAGTTTTCAATGTTATTTATTAAAACACAAGATGATGTTTGGCACTGCCAGCCTTGCTCAAATTTGTGCTTTCTATTTCTTTAGGTATTGCAGCAAGATGGAGAAGACCATATGCCAATTGGACAGAACTTGTCTGTGACATAGTACATTTCTGAGCTTTAGCTATTTTTTGAGATTATGGGATAGCCTTGTTTTCTATGTTGTTAAAATACAGTTCTTAATTTTTTAAAATGTCCCTGCCTTTACTGATTTTTAGACAGTAAATTGTAATAGTTACACACTTCATAAATAAAAAGATCGATTATTACTGTTATTATTATCATTATTATTTTGGCAGTACTGGGGGATGGAACCCTGTACATTCTAAGAAGCACTCTACCACTGAGTTGCACTCACACTTCCTGTTCTATTTTTTCCCCCTTGGCATAAGAGGTCATTTAAAACTTTCAAGGTTGCCAATTTCTTCATTGCTTTTTCTCTTCTGGATGATTAAGTATTCTCACTATTTCAATTTCTGAAAGACGATATTAGAAATCAAGTTTATTTGAAGTTCCAAGTATTGCAGTTTCTTCTTGATATTCTTATTATCTTAGAATTTTCTGAAATAAAAGTGAGAAAACTTTAACTTTGAGAAAAAAAAACATAACTCATAAATATATAATTATTTCCCTAACATTTTATTGATGGTTTATTTATTGTATCTTCGTTGATATCATTACATCACCCTTTAAAGGGAGAAGATAACTTTGCATTGACAAAAGAAATAATTCTTATTAGATAATGCCTATTTCAGTACTGTCTTGGTGTTAAAATTAGCGAAAGTGAGCCAATCCTCCCCCCAAAAAATAATGCCTAATGTTTTCTCTGATATAAGGAGACTGATTCATAGTGGGGTAGGGACGGGAGGCATGGCCGGAATAGAAAAACTCTAGATAGGGCAGAGGGGTGGGAGGGGAAAGGAGGGGCCAGAGGTTTAGCAATGATGGTGGACCGTGATGGACATCATTATGTATGAAGACACAAATTGAAACATACTTTATATACAACCAGAGATATGAAAAATTGTGCTCTATATGTGTAATAAGAATTATAATGCATCCTTGCTATCATTTATTTTTTAAAAATCAACTAAAAAGTTAAAAAAGAAAATAGGACCATGAATGGTGACTTGGATATAAGAAAAGATTTCCTGCAAGAAATGGTGGCTGAGCTTCTGAAACCTGGGAGTTAAGAAGGGTTAAGGAAAGAGTGTTTTAGAAAGGGAAAATGTTCGAGAAAAGACATAGTAAATTCAAGGAGTCAAAATTGACTCAGTATGATCTCGGTTTAGTGGTTAAATTAAGGGTTGAGAGGGGATGGGAACTTCTGAGGAGGAGAATGCAAAAAGAAAGAAATTAAACTGAAGAAATAAAAAGCTTGAATATGAAGGCTGTCTCTAAATCAGGCTGGTGACTTTGAACTTTTCTGTAAAGGCAGTGAGAATTTATGGAAGGATTTAATCCAAACAATGAAAGTTCAAAAAGTTAAAGAGTTTCATTTGGGATCTCTAAGACTCTATAAGTCTCTTGTGTGAGGTGTTGAGGAAAGATCTAATAATATTAAATCTTAGATACTAATGTTGGTTTGGGTAGTAACAGTATTCATGGCTTAACTGGGGTGGGGGGAATTGGCAAATGAGACCACGTTGCAGTGACCTAAGGGGTGAAGGGGGAGTTGAGATGGTGAGGATGGGCCTAGCTTTCAAGAAGCTGGTCTGGAGGCAAAGAGTTAGAAATAGGACAATAAGTCAAGGCCTCCAGCAGTGGAAGGGGCTGGAGAAGAAGCTGGTAGCCTAAGGAACATCAAAGGTATGGGTCTGGAACAAGACACATGGTTACAGGGGTATTCCAGACCAGTTCTAATGCAAGTAAATGTTGATTGCAATTCATGCATAATTATTTTTGAAATTTTTTCTACACCATTATTTAACAGTGCTAACATAAGTTGTCATATTTTCCTCATAATGGTTATCTCATGGCTAAAATTTTAAATGAATATTTTTAAAAGTCCAAATCAATGATGTTGGATTACTGAGTTTTATGTCGAAATTAGGGAGCATTGTTTGACTGCTCATTACTTTGAAGAATGAACAACATAACTAAATTCAGAGTCAAACCTACTAGGAAATCCATGCCAGTTCTCCTTTCCTTGCACATGACATATTTATCCTATTTGTTTACTTATTGTGCTACAGAGACTTGGGCTTTTGGATCTAGGGAATTTTTCTCAGTTGGTTACAAGTTCCAGAATCATGAGTTTTAATATAATTTAAGTGGATAAAATCACTTGGGAACAAGTTTTATCAAATGGAATCAAAGGATCCTTAGTACCTGTAACCTACCTAAAACTGATGTGAAATTTTGTCCATGATCTGTCTCTCCACAGTTCGGGACTACTGTGAAGACTTATAAATCTTTCTGCTGCAGCAATTAGATGAGGAATACAAGTAGCCTGGGTGAATGGTACTTGATAATGTATGTAACTAAATGAGAGCCACTTAAGTGTATCAATTGGCAATCAGAAGCAGGAGGATAGAATCAACAGCAGTCATTTCTCTCCTACATTTCTTTGGTATGAACCAATTAATGTTTTCAAAGTACTTGAAGCTGTCATTATAAAAGGCATTGCCATAGAAACAAAGCAAGGTCATTGGTAAATCAGAGGTAAGGAACACACTCACAAATGTATAATTACTGGAGAAAGTTGCCCAATTTTCGTAAAATGCTACCTGTTTTGATACACATGTTTGGCTACAAATGTGTGAATATATGTTGAAACATTGGAAAACAATTGAATTACACTTGTATGATAAAATAGAGGATTAATGAGATACAGGCATGGTTTTGTTTGAAAATGTGAATAGCAGCACAGGCATGGTGTCAATGTGTAGCAAACCAAACTGATATGAATACACCTCTGGAAATGAAGATGTGAACGCACAAAAATAAGCAGAAACCACATGGCTTGAATGTATTTTCAAGATTTGATGAAATGCATTATTATGCCCATGATCAGTGGTTGTAATACATTGTATTTGTTAGGTATTTAATTGGGATGCCATTTACATCTGTAACTATGTGTTTCAGACTATTTTTAAAAGCTCCATACCCTTTTGAATTCATCACTGGCTACCATGAGATCATTCCTCACTTACCCAAGACCAGAAAAGAAATAAAGATGATTATTACTATAATAAAAAAAAAATAGTGAAAGTGGATTTCCATCAACAGGATTCCTGGGAAATCTGTATGTTCAGATTATCATTACAACCAAAGAATTATTGTAGATAATGTAGAAAGGCATTAGTGTAACTTACTCTAAAAACACATACAATAATTTTTAAATTATAATAAATTATAATAATTTTTAATTATAATAAATTATAATAATTTTTAATTATAATAAATGAAATTTTTAATTATAATAAATAAATGAAAGAGATTAGATGTAAAACTTAATGAACTGATGATATTTTGCTGTCAATATAAAATAATAGTTATTACATTTCATATGACAACAGTTTGGGATTTCTTATAACTTAAAAGGGGAAAACTGCCCACAATGACTCAAAGAAATCAACATTGTTCTTTAGGAAAGAACATCATTTTCTAGTTCCAAATTCTGAGAAAAAAAAAATGTGTCACATGGATCTTTATATAAAATGAAAACATAAAACTTTAAATAAAATGCAGAAATGTTGCATATCATTCTTTAATAAAAGTCTAGGGTATTCCCATAGCCTGAATCAGCCAAATTAAAGTTTTTTTTATTTTTTCATTTTAGTTTGTTATATATGACAGCAGAATGCATTACAATTCATATTACACATATAGAGCACAATTTTTCATATCTCTGGTTGTACACAAAGTATATTCAAACCATTCATGTCTTCATACATGTACTTAGGGTAATGATGTCCATCTCATGCCACCGTCATTTCTACCCCCATACCCCTTCCCTTCCCTCCCTCCCCTTTTCTGTATCAAGAATTGATCTAATCCTCCCATGCCCCCCCCATCTTGTGAATCAGCATCTTTAAATCAGAGAAAACATTCGGCATTTGGTTTTTTGGGATTGGATAACTTCACTTAGCATTATATTATTCTTCAGTTCCATCCATTTACCTGCAAATGCCATGATTTTATTCTCTTTTAATAATGAATAATATTCCATTGTGTATATATATATACCACAGTTCTTTATTCATTCATCTACTGAAGGGCATCTAGTTTGGTTCCACAGTTTAGCTATTGTGAATTGTGCTGCTGTAAACATTGATGTAGCTGTGTCCCTGTAGTATGCTGTTTTAAGTCCTTTGGGTATAGACTAAGGAAAGAAAAGTCCAGGACCAGATGGATACACAGCTGAGTTCTACAAGACCTTTAAAGAGGAACTAAGCCAATACTCTTCAATGTATTAAGGAAATAGAAAAAGAGGGAGCACTTCCAAACTCATTCTATGAGGCCAATATCCACCCTGGTTCTAAAACTAGGCAAAGCACATCAAAGAAAGAAAACTTCAGATCAATATCTCTAATAAACATAGATGCAAAAATTCTCAATAAAATTCTGGCAAATTGATTACAAAAACATATCAAAAAGATTGTGCACCATGATCAAGTGGGCTTCATCCCAGGGACACAAGGTTGGTTCCACACATGGAAATCAATAAACATAATTCATCACATCAATAGACTTAAAAAACCACATGATCATCTCAACAGATGCAGAAAAGGCATTTGACAAAATACAGCACCCCTTCATGTTCAAAACACTAGAAAAACTATGGATAACAGGAACATATCTCAACATCGTAAAAGCTATCTATGCTAAGCCCTAGGTGAACATCATTCTAAATGAAGACAAATTGAAAGCATTCCCTCTAAAAACTGGAACAAGACAGGGATGCCCTCTTTCACCACTTCTATATAACATAGTCATTGTAACAGTGGCCAGAGCAATTAGGCTGATGAAAGAAATTAAAGGGAGGTAAAGAAGAGCTCAAATTAGCACTATTTGCCGACAATATGATTCTATACCTAGAAGACCCAAAAAATTCTACCAGAAAACTTCTACAACTAGTAAATGAATTCAGCGAGTTAACAGCGTTTTAAAGCGAAGTATCTTTCCTTCTACCCCTTCTTCCTCCACCTTCAGCTAGGTTCATCATGGTTCTCAACAGCAAAACAAATGGGACATAGGTGACAAAAGTAATTGGTGAACTGAAAGATAACTGGATTTGTGTGTTCTATCTGGTGGCCCTATCTCCAGTGCATTTAAATGCTTGGCCCTTCAGCTGGTGCAGTGCAGTAAAAGGAAAATGACTTTTTGCATAGGAAAGAACATTAGCTAGTTCTAAAAAAACATGCTATTTGTCTACTTATCAATTTTTAAAAAATATTTTTTAGTTGTTGATGGACCTTTATTTTATTCATATATTTATATGTGGGGCTGAGAACTGAACCCAATGCCTCACACATTGAGGCAAGTGCTCTATCACTGAGCTACAACCCCAGTCCTGCTTACCAATTTTTAAAAAATTTTCCAGTGCGAATATTTTATGTGAATTTTCAGAAATCACCATTTTACCCACACCAAAATATTTTAGTAATTTCTAAAAGGAAAATTGTTATGTTTATTATAGATTCAGAGTATGACATGCCAAGCAACATTTAAGTGGAAGATCTAGGCAAGTTTCAAAAAAATTCAAATTAAGAAAGCTCGTCACTAAGATGACATTGTATTTCTTATTTCATTAGATTATTTTTTTGAACTACAAGTTAAATAATACTTTTTCTACTTAATAAAATTGTAGTCTAAGAAACTTATCTTAAATTTTAAAAGTTTTACAGTAAGTGTAATACATAATTTAACTGGTTAAGGAATGCATTCTACATGAAAGTTTTTTTTAAGAAAAACTTATAGGAATGAATATTAAGGAAAACATAGAAACAAAAATTGAACATATATAGAACACAATTTTTTAAAATGATACAAGATTAACAAATATCTAATAACTGCCACATATTATGTCAATTTTCATACTTACCACTTTATTATTAAAGGCTTAACATTTTTAAAATATGATGTCTCTTATCCACTCTTAAGAAGGTTGAGAAATAGTTTTATTCTTGTTATGCTACTTTTTCCAAAGAATGAGTCTGATGATTTTTAAAGGAGCTGTTAAAATTATGAAAATCCTAATAATAGATATCCTGTCAGAAATTTTTAAAATAATTTTAAAATAATTTAATACATGGCATATTATTTGTTATAAATTCTATTTTATGCGATATGAAGTATACAAAGCAAAAATAGCCAAGATTACAACATCAAAATATGAATGCTAACGTGTACATTCTTAATCTGCCATGAATTTATAAATGTTAAGATCTTATGTGGTAAAAATAGAAGATGTTAGAAAAGATTCCCATTATAAAAAACAAGATGACCCAAAATAAGAAGACATAGACCAGCTTATGCCTACACCTTGTGCTGCCATATTTTGTTTTTGATGGTGGTGTTTTTTTGCATAAAAATTCACAACCTTTAAAATTTTATTATTCCAGGCACTTGCATGTCTTGTCTGCTGCACACATTTGTTCCTGGATTCTCCCTTGCCTGAGGGTTGGCAGCTGACTTGACTGAGCTTACACTGTGTTCCCAGTACTCTTCTAGGACTGTGGTACCAAACATGGAGCAGGAAAGGTAGAAAGAGGGCAGGTCATGGTTGATGGGAGGATGTGGACGTGCAACTCTCATCTCAGTTGACACAGAAATAAAGCAACTATGTCCTTTGTTGTGTGAAAACACTACGGAGAGCCATGCCAGTAGCATCTCAAAGATGGAAGCAGCCTAAAGGTCATTTAATTTATACTTTTTGTTTTATTGTTGAAGAAATCTCAGAGAAGTGTTTGTCTAATATCAAACACACACAGATATATGTATATATACAGTCCTAGGTCACTGAGACTAACTTTGGTGTTTTGAAAATGAACCCTTTGTTATTTGTAATCTGCTAAGATGCTCCCGTGGATTGGATAAGTAGCCCCTAAAGTCCCATGTGTTGAAAGCTTTGTCACCACCACCCTATGGTACTATTGGGAGGTGATGGAAACTTTAAGAGGTGGGACCTATTGGGAGAAAGTTAAGTCACTGAGGATGTGCCTTGAAGGAGATATTAGAACCTAGCCTCTTTTTTTTCTTTGCTCTTCCAATATTAAGTGAGCAGCTCTTCTGCCATGTCTCCCACCATGATGTACTGTACCACAACAGTCCCAAAGCAGTAAGACAAGAAAAATATGGAAGGAAATTTTTGAAACTATGAGCCAAAATAAACCATATTCCTTATTAAGTTGATTATGTCAGGTATTTTGTCACAGTGCTGAAAGCTAACTAACAAAAATGCTAAGTTAATTATCAATAATATTACTTCCAAAAATAATGTAAAATTTAAGGATGATTAATATGAAACAAAGTTGAAATTTTCTTTATCTGATAGAGTCATCTAAATAAAAATAATTATAAATTTAAATTAAACAATAAAGGTCCCCAATTTTTGAATTTTTTATAATTTTGAATTTTAGATAGTGAATTTTATCATGATTTTCAAAATGCTTTTTTAATCTTATTACTTGAATTGCACAGTGGAAAGTAGGAAGGTAAACATGTTTATGTAGGCTATAAGTTTCCTTATCCTGATAAAATAACTTGGGACTTTTAATAATAAGAGTTAATTGTTAAATTTCTAATCTCTTCACAGCACATGGTTTTGTTCTACATGAATTCTGCCTAAACAACAGTATTTTATAGTCTCCCACATTATCACTCCTTTTCTAAATATTATTTTATAACTACATGAAACAGTATAAATTAGTAAGTTCCATTTCAAAATCTTACTTTGTAATATTGTTCTTTTCCAGGAAGTGACGAATGTGTACCCACGTGCTGGAAAAGAGAAGGTTTATGCTGAAGAAGTATGTGTTTCTGGCGTTTTGAACATTCTTTCTGGGGAGAAAAAATTGAACCAAATTTTTTTTTAAATTTCCGCTTTTTCTTTTTTTTCCCTTTTCCGGCCACCGGGATTTTTTTGTTTTTTTTTTTTGTTGGGTTTTTTTTTTCTTTTTTCAAATTTTAGGCAACCTTTTGTTTTTTGGTTCTTTTTTCTTATTGGGGCAAAGGGTTTGGTTTGGGGGAGGTTTTTGTTTAAGGCTTTTTTTTTCTTGACTTCATCTCAGAAAATAAGGCTGCTATCGAGCCTGCTACCATTTTCCTTTCCTTTCTTTTCATTTTAATAATTTAAATGAAAATTTAGTATTTTCCTATCTTTTTCTGTCACACTACATTATTCTGCCCTTCTCTTCCTGTACTAATTAGTATACACAAGAGGTTTTTTTTTTTTAATTGATCTTATTTTTTAAATACATGGCAGCGGAATGCATTACAATTCTTACTACACATATAGAGCACATATTTTCATATCTCTATTTGTATATAAAGTATGTTCATACCAATTCATGTCTTCATACATGTACTTAAGAGGTTTCTTTTTTTTTTTAAATAACACATTTACTCAGATGAATTTCTACTCAATACCTAATGTTGGAAAACATTGTATTAACGGATCATTTTTATAACTATAACAATTTAATGATCTAGAGTTAACTCAATTTGAAACTACATCAGATAAAATTGGTTGAGGAGTTAAAATGTAAGAAGTATGACAATATTTGTTAAGCCATTAATACAGCTCTGGTGGGAAGGTAGGGTCAAATGTGACTTCCCAGCAGGACACCCCAAAGAGCCTGCTGGTAAAGTCAACCTGCATGAATCACATATGGCAGTAAGGAAAGCCACAATCCTAGGGAGTCCTTGTAGTATCTGGTCAAATCTTTTGCCATTTTTTAATTTTATTGTTGCTGTGTTTGTGAATTCTATGTACATATTCTGAATATAAGTCCCTTGCTGGATATGAAATTTATCAATATTTTCTTTTACTCTGTGCTCTCTTGTCATTCTCTTAACGGTATCTTTTACAACACATAAGTCATTTATTTTTTTCACTTGGATGAAGTCCAAGTTTCTTTCTATTTCCAATTGACTGAGAGATATTTATCATGAGTAGATGTGGAATTTTGTCAAATAATTTTTTGGCTTTTCTTCCTTAGAATCTTAAATGGATAGATTATATTGTATAGTTTTTAAATATTAAGCCAGTCTTGTATTCATAAGATAAGTAGCAATTGGCACATGTGTTACTCTTTTTATGTACTGCTGGATTCAATTTGCTATTTTTTGGTTGAGAATTTTGTATTGATATTTATGAAAATGTTTGTCTTTGTTTTTTGTTTTGTTTTGTTTTGTTGGCATGATCTTTGCCTGGTTTTCCTGTCAGGGTAAAATGGGTTGGGATAATTGCCATTATTTCTTCTTTCAATGTTTAGATAAAATTCATTTTTGAGACAATCTGGACCTGGAAATTTCTTTCTCAGAAGGTTTTTCATTGTTAATCTAATTTCTTCAGTACATATATTACCATTCAGGTTGCCTACTTATTTCCGCATGAGTTTTGGTAGTTGCAAATTGTGATAAATGGTTCATTTCATTTAAGTTGACAAATTTATAAGCATAGAACACTTTGTAGTATCCCTGTTTATCCTTTTAATGTGTGTGAAGTAGTCATGATATTCTCCTTCATTCTGATATGGTAACTGTGTCTTCTTTTTTGTCAGCTGTTGGAAATGTATCATTGTTCTTCACAGAACTAGATTTTGGTTCCATTAATCTCCATTGGGTTGTGCTCTTATTGTTTTCTGCTCTGTCATTGTTTGCTCCCCACTGCTTGCTTTATTTTGCCCTTATTTTTTACTTTATTAAGACAGCAGCAGATGTTAATGTGAGAGTTTCCTTCTAAGATTTAGATGTGATCCTATAAATTTTTCTCTAATGTGTTAGTTGGGTGCCACAAATATTGATACACTGTATTTTCATTCAGTTTAAATAATTTTCTCATTTCCTTTGAGGCATCCTATTTCACCCTATTTATTGAGAAGAGTGTTGCTTGCTTCCCATACATTTGAGATTTTACTTATCTTTCCATTATGATTTCCAATTTGAGTGTGCTGTGGTCAGAGCATACTTTTTTATTATTTCAATTTAAATGTGATAGGCTTTGTTTTATGACTCGAGATGTGACTATTTTGGTGACTTTTCTACATGTATTTTAGAAGAACTCATTTTCACTATTGTTGGGTATAGTGGTTTTTAAATATTCATTAAATCCAGTTGGTAGCTATTGTTGTTCAGTTCTTTGCTCTCCTTGCTGGTTTTTGTCTGCTTAGACGAGAGTATTAAAAATCTCCAACTATATTTGTGGATAAATATATTTCTTCTTTCAGTTCTGTTAGATTTTACTTCACGTATTTTGATACTCTCTAGTTGGATGCATATTCTTTTAGGATTGATATGTCTTCTGGGTGAACTCAGCATTCAGCACATAATATCTTTCTTGATCTCTTTGGTTTTTGTTGGTCTGAAGTCCACTTTTGTATTAATGTAGCTATTATTACAAATTTCCTTTGATTTGTGCATGCATTATATATTTTTTTTCATGTGTTACTTTTTTTTTTTTTTGAGACAGCTCTCACTAATTTACTTAGGGGCTTGCTAAATCGCTGAGGCTGGCTTTGAACTTGTGATCCTCCTTCCTTAGCCTCCAGGGTCACTGGGCATACAGCATGCACCACAATGTCCAACTTCCATGTATGGCTTACCTTACATTTGAACTGAGTGTAGACATTGACTGTTGTATAATTTAAAAAGTTCTATTATGATCATCTCCTAATTTGCATATTTTGTCCATTTATATTTAATGTAAATACTGGAATGTTTGCATTTATATCTACCATTTTTTTCCCCATTTGCTCATTCTATCTTTGGCTCTGTTTCCACTTTTCACAGCATTTTTGGTTTATAAGTACTTCATTAGTTGTGCAAAAATATTGGTAAAAACATTGAGTAACAAGTTTAAAAAATTGATTTGGGTTGGTAAACAAATTTTATGTAATTACATAAGACAGTGTTTTCTTAAAATAATTTGTATTTATAAAGTAAAGAAATACTCACAAAATTTTCTGCTGGATCACACATCTTTACCTGAAATATGGTCTCCAAGAGCAAGTCTATGGGTTTATCTTTGTAGAACATTAGAAAAAAATGTACAAAGCTAGGCAAGTCCTCAGTTCTAAACAGTTTTCCTATAGATAAAAGTAAATAAATACAAATAATTCATAAATAGTTGTCCATTCCATTAAACATGGGAAAAGAGCAACTATAAAAACTTAAATGTAACCTATTCTTTAGAAGTCAAGTTTAAAGCATCAATGAAGTGGAAGATGAGAAAGTAAAATATTATATCTGCTTAAGTATTGATTATGGGTTACCAGTTCTGAAGAAAAGAAGGTAAGCTGGTTTAAATTCACCAATACTCACAGGAAATCAATTTTGATATCTAGTACAAATTGGTTGTCCAAAATGAAGTGAAAGATAAATAAATGGAGTGGAGAGTACAAGAGCTGTAATCTCTTACTGAACTTTGTACAAACTGTGATTTTTTTTAACCTGACTTTTGTAACATTTTATCCATCTACTGCCTACTTACCTTTAGTACTTAATTTTTATTAAAATACTGTACTATTTTGATATGTGAGCACATTATTTGACTTTTTTAAATATTAAAATTCTTAAAGACTTACTATGTTTAAAATATGATTTTATCAGGTCTAATTACTTTTTCCAATGTACTGCATCTTTAATTTTAAAGTGAAATAAGAGGAATAAGAGTTAAATGGTCACTTTAATCATGCAAAATCCATTTAACCAATTAATAAGATTGCTCATAGGTTGCAAGCATGTTTCAATTTTCCTTGAAACTTGGATTTTTGTGGGTGATTTAATTATATGGCTATATCTTAACTTTTGACACTTATTTACATATTAGCCAAAGCAAGGGATTCGGAAACAGGAAGAGTTAATTCTTTTCCTCATCTGCTGATAGCATGCTGTAAAATTCTATTTATCAGGTTCATGTTTTTGGTAAATAATAAATAACAGAATTTTCATCACAACAAGGCAAAAACCTACACAAAGTTAAGCCTCAATAAGACTTTGGTGTCATGTCCAGTTTATATGTGGTGATTAATGTAAATACCCTGTGCTTCTTGTACTTGAAGTTCTTGACACGGAAAATTCTTTGAGAATATTAAATTCTCAGAGTAATACAATGAGATTATTTCCTCTTGAAGCTTCTCATCAGGTATTATGTTTACCTATGATATTTTTCTTATTTTAGCCAAGGATGAGTAAAAACCTCTGAAGTTTAAAATGTTGTGGAAACTTTGGGGAAAGCAATGTGATCAAGTAAGTATATAAAGAACAGATTGACCTTACTAGCAATCAGTGAAAGGCTTTATGCTCCTCCCAATGGCAAATAAATAAAGACAAACGTTGACAAGCACATGATCCCCAGAAGCAAGACCTCTAGAGCGCTTATGAGAGCATCAACTAAGCCAATCTGCAATGCAATCAGCTATATTTGTCCTTAGCAATTCCTCACCACAGGATACAGGTCCTTTCTTTTTTTGTCTCTGGTAGTAGAAAATTGATAACAATCAAGGTCTGCCACTCAGGGAGTGGGTAAATCAAATGGATTAACACTCAGCATACATGCAGCAGTAAAAATAAATAAGTAAATAAAGAGAATGGACATAAAGCAACATGTTGAGAGTTTAAACATCTAGTTTTATCTGGCACAGTGTATGCCTGTAATCCCAGAAGCTCAGGAGGCTGAGGCAGAAGGATTACATGTTCAAATACAGCCTCAGCAATTTGGTGAGGATCTAAGCAACTCAGTGAGACTCTGTCTCAAGATAAAAAATAAAAAGGGCTGAGAATGTGGATCAGTGGTAAACCGCCCCTGGGTTCAATCCCTAGTACCAAAAAAAAGAGAAAGAAAGAAAGAAAATCTAATTTTGAGGGAAAATGTAAGGGAAAGAAATAGGCTTCTGTTATTACTAATTATGTAAATTTACAACAGGTACAAACAAGAGAAGCATCAAACATTTTACATAGATGTGTGCAGATTTGTAAGTGCATCTCGACATGTTAGAATGAAAAGCTCGTAGGGGGTGGGGGAAAGTGAGAGCAGCGATTAAGGATAAAAGAAAGTAAGGGAGGGTACCTGTATGAATCAGTAACGTCAGGCACTGTGAAACGAGTACTGTGATTCAACTCGCTGCCTTGGGGTTCAAAAGGAACAGAAGGGTAGAAAAACGGAAGGTGGAAAGAACATAAGGAAGAAAAAAGAAAGTCTATGGAAGAATTGTTAAAAAAAAAAAAAATTCACCCGGCTGGGTGTGGTGGCGTGCACCTGTAATACCAGTGACCTAGGAGTCATAAGCAGGAGGATTCCAAGTTCAAGGTCAGACTTGACAAATTAGCAGGACCCTGTCTCAGAATTTTTAAAAGGTTGGGGGGGAAACAGGGGTATAGCCCAGTGGTAGAGCACTCGCCTAGTGTGTGCAAGGCCCTGGGTTCAATCCCCAACACCACCTCAATCACATTATGGGTAGTTTAAGGAAATTTTCTGTGGTAGGTATAGTTCATATCATATTCCTATATTGTTAAAGAATGATGGCTTTATCATACCGGGAATTGCAGAGATAAAATTCCTTTCTGTAGAACTTTGTTCTTTGATATTCAAAATTTCAGGGGAGAAAGGTTTGGGGGGGGGGGATTGAACCCAGGCCCTTAATCATGCTCTTCCATCGGGCTATACCTTTGGCCCCTCGGTATTCTCTTATGTAAAAAAAAAGAAAAGTACATCTTTTTCAGAGAGCTACTATGCCAGACTCTTAGCAACCACTTATAAATTTTTTTATACATAACTGTATATATGTTGATCTGCACATGTTTAGGGTATATCTAGAAAAAAAAAACTTTCGCTTAGGAAATGCTGAAATTCGGGTACTTGAACATGACTTTGCTATTAAAATAATAATATCTTTACAGGAATCATGCCATTCCTTTCTATTTGGTAACAAACTCTTTGACAAGTTGTTAAAAAGTTTTGAGACTATTGTGTGCTACAAAATCTTGATCCAACAAAATAAACCAATTGCTTACCTATGAATCCAAGTACTGAAAACTGAATATAAAACCAATCATTCGAAGTGATATTATGTAAAAAATCTGTCATTTTTGTGAAGTACATCTTTCTAGCTATGATATCATCTTCTAGCTAGAAAAAATAAAACCAAAAGGGCATTACTTCAATGCTTCTATTGTATAAGTTATATTAACTTGAAGATAGAAAATACCAACAGTAGAATACACTGAAAATGGGTTTTATGAGTAATATTTAATTTTTAATTCCATTCACAACTAGTCAATTTCCATTCTCTGATTCTGAGACTAAACAGAGCCAGGGCTATTTTTTTTTTTCCTTTCCTAAATTCTAATCTATAACATTCAATTCAAGACCTTCTTGAAAGAGTCTGTCTGAATCCATTTTCATCCCTGCAAACACTTCAGTTTCTAGGCTAAGACTGTCTGAAGTTGGGGGGCTGTGATTAAAAGAAAACCTTTAGACTGGCTGACTTTCTTCTTGTAGTTCTGAGGCTTGGAAGCCAATATCAAGGTGAGGGCAGATTTGGGGCCTGCTGAGGGTTGGATCTTCAAGCGCGGCATCTTCTGTGTGTCCTCACATGGTGGAAGGAACTAGCCAACTCTCTGAAGCCTTTGTCATAAGGGCACTAATCCCCATCCCCAGGGTTTCACCCCTAAGATCTAATCACATTTTAAAGGCACCACCTCCTGATATCACTTGGGGGTTAAGGTTTCTGCACAGTAATTTGGGGCAGAGGTACACGCATTTGAGCCTGACAAAGAGTAACTAGCCTTATGCTTGGGGTGATAAGTGCCATGTTCTATCTGCAGCTAGTACAGCTGGCAAAGAGGTGACAAAAAGGAACTGGGCATTCCTGTCCAGGCACTAAGGAACTCAAAAAGACCCTGTATCTAAATAAAATACAAAATAGGGCTTGGGGATATTGCTTCGAAGTCCAGTACCCCTGAATTCCATCTTCGGTCCCCTCGTCCAACAAAAGAAGAGAGAGGGGGAGATGGAAATGAGAGTCTTCTTTTTCACTCAGTATTTACTATGCATAATCCATAGATCAAAACTGCCCTCAAAATGTTCAGAAAAACGTGGAACTCCTCAGGCACACTAACCAGGGCACAAAATAGAGTTGTTTTTCAGACTGGAACGAGAACACTGACTGATCTTATGTTTCCATTACATTGCCACCAGCTGGGAATCAAAAGGGATTTTTTTTTTCTTTCAGTAAAAGATTTTGGTTTGAGCCCTTGTCTAGCTTTCTCTCTACTCTCCAAAGATATTCTGAAAATAATTCTGACAAATGCATATTGTTTACATACTTCTACTGGGAATCACAGCATTACCATTCAGTAATGTGCAAGGACTGAGAGGGTACACACGATGTATGTTGATTTTTACCAATATAATAAGGCACTACAGAACTGTGTGACTCTCCAAGTGTGCAGTATACAATGTCTGACATAACACAAGTGCTCAGGGCTGGGGTTGTGGCTCAGTTGTATAGTGCTTGTCTAGCACATGTAAGGTACTGGATTCAATCCTCAGCATCACATAAATAAAATAAAGTTATATTAAAAAAAGAGTATCTCATGCGTATTTTAAAAAGTGCTCAACATATATTTGCTGAGTATAGTAAAATTGTGGGCAGAGAAATATAGGCAGAGTAATTTATATTCCCCCCCCCAATTTCAGTTTCTCTTTAGTTTCATTCAGGTAACTCTAATTTCCTCTGTTACAGTGAACCCTGCAAGAATGTTAATATAGAAACAATTCAAGTTTCATTTTGGCATTTGGATATAATGATATATTCTATTTTCTGGGTACCAACTAAGGTGGAGGAACACAACTGAGGAAATGTTTAGTTAGCTTTTTTACTGCTGTGACTAAATGACCTGACCAGCAAATGACCTGACCAGCACAACTGTAGGGGAGGAAGAGTTTATTTGAGGGCTCATAATCTCAGAGGTCTTAGTCCATAGAAGGCTGGCTCCATTCCTCAGGGCTCAAGGTGAGGCTGAACTTCATGGTGGAAGAGTGTGGAGGAGGAAAGCAACTCACATCATGGTCAGGAAACAGAGAAAGAGGTCTCCACTGGCCAGATATATACCCCAACACCACGCCCCAATTCCTACCTCCTCCAGCCACACCCTACCACTTCAGTTACCACTCAGTTAATCCCATAAGGTACTGATTCACTGATTGGGTTAAGACTCTTATTACTCAATCATTTCTTCTCTGAACCTTCTTGCATTGTCTCACACATGAGCTTTTGGGGGACACCTCATATCCAAACCATAACAGGAAGAAAGGATTTAAAAGAAGGAAGGAGAAAATAGTATTTTCAATTAATATATACCAAGTTCTCACCTGTAAATAATACATGGCCTTGGATTGGGCATACAGCATCAATATACAAAAATCCAATACTTGTTTCATGTGCCAACTAAAGATAAGCAATAAAATCTGTTAATGTTTGTCATTATTATTTAATTTAAAAACATATTTTAGCAATCCAAAACATTTTTTTACAGTTTACTCACTGCACAGTAGCAATATTAAATAAAAGTGGACAAGTTCATACTAAAACTTACACTAGAAACCTCCCATCTTTATTCAGTGGGAAGTACCTGCCATTGCTAAACTAGGCTAAATATTACCTATGTAATTATTTTGTTTTGTTACATTTTGATCTATATAATAAAATTAGTATTCTTTCTGATATTATGCCTCATTTATAGGAAATTATAAAAAAAAAACTTTACAGGAGATGGGGATGTGGCTCAAGCGGTAATTTGCTCGACTGACATACGCAGGGTGCTGGGTTCCATCCTCAGCACCACATAAAAATAAAATAAAGATGTTGTGTCCACTGAAAACTGAAAAATAATTAAATTATTTAAAAAATTCTCTCTCTTCTATCCCTCTCTCTCTCTGTTAAAAAAAAAAAAACTTTACGGTAATTTAATACTAAACTAGATACTGATATGAAGAACGATTCGCAATTCCACTCTCGCCCTTTGGGATCTCATATTCAAATCTGAAAAGATGGACAACGTGTATGTACCATACCTCTTACGCTCTGAGACAGTTGGCCGCTGGGTATGTAACCTATCCGGGTATAAAAAAGCTGGTACTGAAATGACCTCTAGGGATCCAGATTTCACTTGCCTTCTGAATCTGTAAATGTAAGTAAATGGAGGCTTATAACTGAATATATGCTGAGTTTACCAAAATAACATAAATACTTAGATATAACTTCTTTATGCATAGCTATGTAATATTTTCTTTTGAATTATTTTACTTGTTGATATATGTTACCATATCATGTAACCACTACTTTTTAGTCAAAGTATTCATTTTATAAGGTCGTGACAGATTGAAACATTAAGATATATGATATAAAATTCATTTCCTCATAAAAATTACAAGAACTTTGAAATTTTTAGGTTATGATCAGAGAAGTCCTCACACACTTGACAAGGGAACTAATATCTTATGATAATAAAGTAGTTTCAACTAAGCAATAACACCACATCATGTTTAAATGCAAAACTTTGAATTGAGTAAGAGTCCTATTGAATAGCAACGTGACCCCTGGAATCAGACTACCACCGCAGGGGAGGGTGAAGTCTCACTCTGTCCACAACTCCTTGGAAAACTATGATTACATTTAAAAGTTAATATTGATAGATTAACAAGGACATCACTAAAATGCATAAACTCCTTCTCACTGAAGCTTTAGCCATGGAGAGAACGTGTAGAAGACCAGGTAGAACATTTTAAATGGTCTTCCGTTAGAGACAGATAATATGCTTTTAAATAGGATTTAAATTTAGGCATTAGTTTTTATTAATATGTTAAAGTTTCGAGGAAATGTTTATGTTTTACTTCCTGAAAATTTAAATAAAGTAGGACAAAGTTTTATATGCGTGATCTCAATATGTGCAAAAATCAGCTCAATGACTACACTACCTTCTTGAAAAAGTGTTCAACATCCACAGGTGTCATGTTAATTCATAATAATACAATTCCTACCAAAGTCCTTCCTTTGTTTTTTTCTTTTACTGGTACTGGGAATTGAACCCAGAGGTGATCTGCCACTAAGCTACATCTCCAGCCCCTTTTTCATTTTTATTTTGAGACAGGATCTGAATTGCTCAGGCTGGCCTTGAAGTTGCAATTCGTCTGCCCTAATCTCTGGGATTACAGGTGTGTTATCTATAATCAAGAAGTTTCAAAATTCTTCTCTCCCTCTCCCTCTCCCTCTCCCTCTCCCTCTCCCTCTCCCTCTCCCTCTTCTTCTTCTTCTTCTTTTTTTGTACCAGGCATTTTACCACTGAGCCATATACCCAGTATTTTTTATGTAGTTTTTTATTTTGAGACAGGGTCTTGCTAAATTGTTCAAGGCCTCACTAAGTTGCTGAGACTGGCTTTGGATCCTCCTGCCTCAGCCTCCCAAGCCCCTGGGATTACAGGCATGCACCACTGTGCCCAGCTCAAAGTCCTTCTTGATAATATTATATTGATTCATCAGTATGTTCCAGTGATTGTAAGCAGAAGAGATGAAGTAATTTCATGCAGTGAGAAATATAAGAGTGTTTTGAACACAATTTAGTTTCTTTTGGGGACAACCAATTTCATGAAGGCTAATATCATAACAACTATTACATGAAAAATTTGAATTCCAGTAAGCAAATAAATTATAAAACTGGAGAAAATCATCAGCTATTCTTTATCCCAGGTTAGGAATAATAGCAGATTCTTTATGCACAATTCCATTCACTCAAAAGAATGTGATAAATAATAATACAATCAGACAGGAAAAAATAGTAGTATAGAGAAATGAAACTGGCTAATTTAAAATTTATAAGACAATACTTACCTTTTCATAATCATGTCAACAACAGACTTTAAATAATCTTCATTACTCTGAAAGTAAGGGGGAAAAGGTAAGTTTAAGTATGCCTCAGTTGTATTAATATAACTTTTTTTTTTTGGTACCAGGGATTAAATTCAGGGGCACTTGACCACTGAGCCACAACCCCAGTCCTATTTTGAATTTTATTTAAAGACAGGGTTTCACTGAGTTGCTTAGTGCCTTGCTGCTTCTGAGGCTGGCTTTGAACTCTTGATCCTCCTGACTCAGCCTACTGTGCTGCTGGGATTACATTTTTGCTACAAGTAAATTTAATTTATGTGTGGAATGTCATTATTTCCTGATAATTTCTAGTGTTTTACACTTTCTGTAAGATAA